TTTCTCCCCAATACTTCAAGCCCTGGTGACTTCATTGGAGAATTGTAAGAAGCATTTGAAAACATAAAACCAAATGAAGGAATTTAGGAAACAAATATTTGGAAGAATCTGTACTATTGCTATAAATGATACTTTTCTGTAAGCTGGTAAGCAGAGGGCCTCCTTTCTTATCACTCTCCCAGCTCCTATGACAGGGATGGGCTTACCTCCATCTGTTGTGAAACACTGCTTCACTATCAACCTATTCCACAGCAAGCACTTTCTATGGAATTCTCCTGTACCTGGTAACAGCAGAAGGAGAGAAAAATAAGGGACGTCTTAAAGAAAGAAAATATCAAACTCCGCATATGGCTGTCCTTATCTTTCCTCACGCCTGTGATCTTTTTCTGTTGGGTTTCACTTTGGGAACACTATTGTCATAGCCTTAAAGACTATTCAATTCTGACAATTCCTGGACAACACAAATGCATGGAAATATAAAATTTAATTCATTTTCCTTTTCCTAACCAAATTCAGCAACAACATTTTGAGATTCCCAATTGTTTAGAAAGCTCTCTGTGTATGTTTTGCTTTGGGTATTGCTCTCATAATCAATAAAATATAAAATAAATTAATAATAATGAAATATACTACCAGGAGTCTGTACATGTAATGGAAGTATTCTGTGGTAGTTTTATGACCTTGAAGTTTAACAAAAATATTCAATAGTCAACATAAAGTGTTTTTCACAGTTATCTGAGGAAATAGAGCTAAAAAGGACTAACATGAGCAGTTCGCTATTTATCAAAATAACCAGTGATAAAAACAGTGCTATCTTCAACTATCTGCTGTTACTTATCCCACAGGTTCTGGGAATGGAATTGCTATAATGATCAACAGGCACTGTCAATGAAAATGAAGATCAAGCAGAAATTCCACAAAGGAGCTGTTCACATAATACAAGGTTCCCTTTAGTGTAATCCATGAACAACAAAGGCTGGGTTGGGTGAGGAGAACAGATGTTGATTTACACCAGGAAGCTGTTAGACTTCTTAGGTTCCAGACGATGTTCTAGCACTGTGGTGACTGTAACTCTTCAAGAATGGAAACAAAAACAAACAAATAAGGATTAGGAAAGTAGCTCGATTTTTATGACAACAGTATACACAAATATATACCTGAAAAGATGCACATGATTGATAAGCTTGGGAAATTGTGTGATTTTGAAATCATGTCACAACCAGAAGAATGGAGTTTCTCAGGAGTTGTTAGACAATTTGTTTTATAAATGAAGAAACATGATGTTTCAGTGGATTTCACAATTAGCAGTAGAAAAGCAGTTGTTTCTCTAAGGACTCCAAGAAATGATATCAGTCACAAATTCATTTTGCAGTTTTAATGAATCAACTTTACTTGTGCTAGTGTATTAAATATGGACACCTGTTCTTCCTGATTAGGATTCAACTGTAATTTATATTGAAGTAAAATTTAGGCCTATTGCTTATTAGGAGACCACAGAGGATTGATTTATTCTTAGCTCAATATTATTGTATCAATTTGTATAAGTAAGAGTTATGGTGGGGAAATCATACATGGAATCAAGCAATGTGCTACATCAGTCATATGTTCCAAATTGTTCTATATTTTACTTGTTATGTAACTGCACTGTTGTATAGCTGATGACTGTATATATTTTGAAGGTGCTGAATTCGTGCACTGTGACAAAGACCCAAGAATCACAATAAGCTTAATTTACAATTAAGCAGTCATTTTATTTCCAGAGTCATTGATAATATGAGATAGAACTAACTGAAATGGCAGAGGAGAAAGTGAATTTAAGACCAAAATCAAAAATATTACTACTAGAAAGTTACTGGAAAGTGATAGGTGCTACATCAATATTCTTTGGTTTAAGCAGCTGCCTAATCAAATTAAAACACTCTAATTATATAATTAATTATGTCTGCTTCAACTGATAATCATTATATTATGTGGTATAATTTTGAAATTTAGAGTTGTCAAGTATACACCAATAAATATGTATCATTGCTTAGTATTGAAAATTAAAATTTTATAATCAATAAATAATTATGCCCATTTTCACATTAAAATATGCTTCTTTCAAAAGTTTCTCATCTTTTCATGCTTTTCTTTCTTTTTTTTTTTTTTTTCTTTTCTTCTTCTTGGCCATTTGAGATAGGGTATGACTACACAGTTCAGGCTGGCTTTGAACTTGTGTGGATCCTCCTGCCTCAGGCTCCCAAGTGCAGGAGTGAAAGGCATGTGCCACCATGCCTGGCTTTTCTAATACTTTTCTAAGTAACTAGCTATCAAAGTGTTTTAAGATGTAAATCTCAACTGCTTGACATTGAAGACCGTATAAGACACACATCATAACTTCAGATTGAAAGGTTCAGAATGAGTTTGAAGAACAAAATATACCATTCAAAGAATAATTTGCAGACCGTATGAGGCAGAAAAGGTAGACAGCTACTTGATTAAGCACTCATCCCATACTAAATAGGCAGTTGGCAAGGGGTGAACTTCTGGCAACTCAAGTAAGGTCCAACCCTATTGGAAGTTCACTTAGGCCTGGAAGCTCCAGGATACACTATATCGCCTATTCAAATCTCTAGGCTGAAGGGACCAACAGTTGCCATTCCCCACTACCACCAGCAGGGGCAGCG